AATCTAGCCAACAGCAAGTTGTGACCGTGTCAATGAACCAAAAAAAACGGAAAATTACGACATTTTCAGAATATTTTAAACTTTCGAAGAAAAAAACCATGTTAGCTCTGTTGTAACTCTAGGCTCTTTTCTGCTTGCCTCTTTTTTAAATAATAAAACTAATTAGAGAAAACTGCGTTTAAGGTAGCAACTAACCCCAAAAACAAACAAAAAAAATTTCGAAGACACAACTAAAAAATTTCAAAATGTTGTCTGAATGTTATATTTGCGGAAAACACGTCCAGAAACAGATTCGACGGTGTTAAATGAAAATTCATTAATAATTTTGTCAAGAAAAAACGATAAAATCTATTTTGGGATTTTTAATGTTTTGTGGTATCCGGAGGAAAAAGCATACAAAATATGGTTCCCTCGAACGACCCAAAATAGGGCTAGTAAGCCGATAAAATATAAGCCCAAATCAAGGCTAAAAATTTTAAAGGCTAAAAATTTCGAAAAAGAAAACGTAAAAAGTCAATGAAAAATGCATACAACAAAAAATTCTACGATGTGGCAACAAGCCAACAAAATATAAGCAGACAAATAATACGCCGACAATTTTTTTTGAAACGGAATATTTCCCATTTGAAAAAAAAATCAGGTCCTTGTAAGATTCAAACCGAGGACTTTCGCCGTCCCAGGCGTAATCGTTACGCCTAGACTAAGTGTGCCCGAGACGCTTGGAAATTTGAATTCAATATGAACCAAGATACCAAGTTATTCTGTTAAACAAGTTGTAAACCCGAAACAAAGTCTTTATTCGGATTTGATAGCACTTGCTAATCGCAAGCTTAAATAGATTTTCGAATTAAAGTCATTCACGCTTTTGAATTGAATTTTGGAAAATTAATTGTGATCATATAGTAAGACAATTTTGTCTGACAAAACCACATGACCTAAACTTTTTTTCCACTTCGTACATTGATGATGCTAGGACAAAATTTCTGATGCTTTTTTAACGCTGACGAATGTGATTATTAAAAATAGCAAAAAACACAATTATGGGTCAGCCAAAACGTAGCCATTATAAGTCAAACACCAACGAACTGAAGGAAACCGAAACTCGAAAACAAAACATCACATTGAAGGTCTTAACTTTCAAGAATCTTCTAAAAATAAGACTTTGTTCGTAAAACTAGCCCAATGAGAGAAAACTGGATCAATCGTTTTTTATTCCGCTGTGAAAACTTAAAATCAAAATCCACTTTCATGTCTAACTTTCAGTCAAGTTTTTCGCGTCATTCCGCTTCGAAAATTTCAAGCAAATTTGTTAGAATCGAACTTAAAGCACAGTGTCACAGATTCATAACCATTTACGAGCTGCAACTAAGCTAACAATTGGGTGGAAGCCACTTGAGCCGAAAACAAAATGCTGCATAGAGAAACTTTCAACTAAACTCATATTTTTACACCACATAATCATGAAACAAAAAAGCATGCAAATATATTTTGGGCTTTTAAAAAACGCAAAAATAAATAAATAAGCTAATATAACAAAAACCAAAACAATTCAAGCAAAAAAGGAAAGACAATAATAAATGATACAAAATCATAGCTGGCACATCTACAGATTGATGAACGTTTTTCAATTAAAGTTGGAACTGCTTGAATCAAAAGGAAAGTGATGTTATGTTGTACAGAAAAAATAATCGATGCTTTGTAATTTCAGCTGACAGACAAGCAGAAAAACGATAGTCCGACATTTGTACCCCAATTTTTTTTGCTTTCGACTTTTAAGAAAAAAACAAGGTCCGGCTGTGAACCTAACATCAGACTTTATGAACCTAAGGCGTGAGCTTTAGCCCTAGACCAAATAAGATAAGAGACTTGCACTCATAAATGAAAATACTTTCCAGAGACTTCAAAAAAATCTCCAGTGTGGTCGCGTGCCCACGACGCTAAATAAACCCAATGAGAGGGGGTAGGGGCCCCCTCGGAACATTTGACATTTGGCCAGTTTAACGTTCCTACTTTTTTCAAAAACTTAGTCGGGCGCTGAAAAACAACCCGCTAGATTTCCCTAATTTTTTGCATGCGACCCTAGAACCCGGAAAAAATGGCAGTTTGTTTATGCCACTTTTGGATGGTTTTATTTTTGAGATGGGTTTTGGTCATTTTTGCCCTTTTCCCAACGACCCCAAAAGTGATTTTTTCAATTTTCTCTAAATCAGTAACTTTTTCGGCGTTTGTCAAGAAGAACTTTCTAATAGTGCCTAAGACATGTGGTATGATGCTTTAAACCGTTTGGCATAAATTTTTTTTTGCTTTTGCGAAAATTAAAAATTTCACTTTTTAAGACGGTCATCTAAGGTTCGAAAAATGAAAAATTTTGTTAGTTGAAAATTTTGTATTCTGATTTAAAAAACGAGTTTTCCGTTCGGAAATATCTCAACCGAAGAGGCAAAACGCTGAAAACTTCTCTTTTTTGCTTTTATAAATTTCTTATTTGGTCGTTTAGCCGAAATTTGTAGTAGAAAAAAAAAGAAATTTTAATTCAGATCTGTCTTACATTAGCTGCAGTAGTTTAGGTCATATATAGCCAGTTGGAAAGCTTGAACTACTAACATTCATTGTAAGCTGCCGCAAATTTTCATGATTTGTTGTGAAAGATAATGAATTTGCTGAAAATAATACTAAAAAAAACCTGAAAGTCAAAAGAATTTTTTTAAGAACTTTTTTTTGCAAATCTTGTAGGATGCTTTGTGGGCCCCTTAGGGCCCAGTATAGGAGCATCCGACTCGAAAGTATCCAAAAAATTGAAATAAAAAATCGTTGTTGTTTTTTTAAGCCATCATGTCCAGTTTTGACTGAGCATTATAATTGCGCCCCAAGGGCGCATTTGTCACGCGAAAGCGTTTTCAGCTGCCCTGCCATCCATTCAAATGTGCCAGAGTGTGCGCATATTAAGAATAAAATTACGCAAAAACCATGCCAAGGTTGGGAGGGTGGGACGTAGACCTGACTGGCTAGGTATAATTTCGTCATGCAACTAAATTATGCAAAAAAAAAACATCAAATAGACAAAATAACCGAAAAAATCCATGCAACCCAAAAAAATTTAGTAAGGTTGATTCACACTATACGAGAATACTTTGAAAAGTTTAACACATTTCTCAAACTGGATGGAAACTTGACGAGAAGTGACCACAGCAAAATTTGCTCACACTGATGCTGAACAAAAACTTAAAAATGTTGAAATTACCATAATTACAAAAAACTTGATAATTTTCTCATTACCTCTAGGCCATGGCTGCCGATGAATCCCAGAAATTTGAATTAATCTGAATTTAGCAATCAAATGATTCTAGTGAATTTGTTCAACTTGTTGCTTACCTGGAAAAAAGTATATATTCCGATTTTGTTGCGCCAAGTTGTTAACCTGAAAGCCAACAACTTTGAGCTGAAACCACTTAAACAAAAATTATTTTTTTAATTTTCTTAATTTTTCAAGTTCCCCTTGCAACTACAATGAAAGTTGCTTACAGCAAAAAAAAAATCAGATGTGGCAACTAAGCCGACCATCTTTGAGCCGCCAACTAAACTGAAAAAAAAATTAGAAAATAGAATGTACATTTACACTTGCAACTACAAAGAACATTGTCTACAGCAAAAGCAAAAACCGTTGTGGTGGCAATTTAGCCGACAAAACCTAAGCGAACAAACGAAAAACCAACAATTCATTTTCTCAGAATTTTTTTCAATTTCCTTGATACCGAAAAAAACAAGATGCGGCCACGACTCGAACCCCACACCTCAGGGTACAAAGGCAACTGCTAACCTCCAGGCCAAGGGGGAAGCAACTTGGAACATGTTAAGTGGAGGTAAGAAGAGAAGTGAAGATAAGAGAAAAGAAGTGATTCAACTGATTTTGTTAACCTGAAAAAAAGTCTACATTCTAGTTTGATAACGCTTGCTTATCGCAAGCGTAATAAATAAACCAAAAATTAAATCGTAAAAGATTACATCACGTCCTTTCATCAGTGTCTTTACTACGTTCATTGACATAACACGGCCTCTTTCTATTTTCATTTGCCGTTTTTCCTACAGAAAGATTACAAAAATGGGGTCCAAATGTGTTCTGCCCTGTCAAATCTTTCGCAGTTTTCAAAGGTGTTGAAATGCTCTGGATATCAGCACCTGTAACATCGTTGAAAAACGGTAAAAAAGGGTATTTTTTATCTGCTTCGGAATAGTTCCGAAAACCAATTTGGTCGTATAAAATTTTTTTTATTCTGCCTGCACACGCTCAAAAATCACCCAGATCCACTATGGTTGCGTAGTAACTGTGAGTTTGAGACATTTACAAGCAAGCCCATAAAACTGCCTTCTGGTAAATGCCCATAACACAAACATGGCCATAAACTACTATCATGATCGCTAATTTGGGAACTCTTCTCTTCCGTCATCTGTATTCAGTTGTCAGTGATTAAAAAAGGAAGTTTAATTTATGAATTGAATTAATCTGGATATTATTGCACGATATAAAACTCATTGTTTGCATGAACATGGAGAAGAAGGCAATTTTGGATGCTAAGAGAGAAACAGAGAAAGGAGGACGAAGATGTTCGGATGAAACAGAAAAAAGAAGAGAGCAGCTGCAGTAGTGCATATAAAAAGAGAGGAGCAAGCAAGCAACTGCACATGCAATTCAGCAGAGCAATCTATCATTGCGAGGTGCTAGGCAAAAAGACGACTGGTAATTAAGACGACAAAGCAAATTTACATGTTTTTATTCTCACAGGCTACATTTTACCCCAATAAAACCCTTTAAATATAGATGAAGTCGGTAGTTTTGCTGTTCTAGTTGAATACTTATACTTGTAGTAACGTAAAAAGTTAGGTGTCTTGAGAGATGTCGTCTTGTATTACGAGGCATCAAACCATCATCACCCACTAGCCAACATTACGTGTGCTTTTTTTTCTATCGCAAGCATTTGCTAGATGGACTGAAAACAACAAAATGAAAAAAGTTTCTTTATTTAATCAAATATCATTTAAACTCAATTAAATATCACTTTTGCAATACTTCTAAATGAAATCAAGTAATTATCATCTGCAATTGGTAAGGGCATCCGAAATAAGAACGCTTTTTGCAAAAAAAAGTCTTAGCAATAAAATCTGGTGAGAAAACCATTCAATTATGGTTGCCAGTCCAGCTATTTTCTAATAAATCTATGCTAAATCTACAATACAATTCCAAAAAATCCACTAGAACTAGTGCTCTCAACGTTATCAGCGAAATCTGCAGAGGTGAAGTTTAACAAGTAACTGCTTAACTTCATGTGTTTCAATCTATGAAACCAACTAAGGATACAATGACAGCATATATTGATGAACATTTTGATACTTGGTGCAACATTTCGTGACATTGACAAAACTTCCTGAATACTCAGTGAATTTTTGTTTTGGTAAGTTCATAGAAATAAGTTCATTTCAAAAAAATGTTCAACCTTTAAATAAGTACGGAGCAAAGCCTTCTTCAAAAACAATTTATCGCTGTCTAGTAATCTCAGACTCCGGATTCCGCCCCGGGACGTTTTCTAGCTAAAGTAATATGAATGGTGTTCAAGTAATAAAACCAAATATAGACCCTATCTAATGAAACTTGTCAATGTCACCACGGCTGAATTATTTCAAATTACTAGCTCACAATACTGCTACCCTGCAAAATCTACGCTGTGGATTATCATTTTCATGCTGAGACACTTTCTCAATTAGCTTGTTTCTCGCTTAACTAAGAATAAATAAAGTGGAAAATTAACATCCTGATAGCTAAATGATCCAATCTGATAAACATCAGTCATTATAAATTATGCTGAATTGCTATAAATATAGAGAATGCACAAGAGTACGCATCTAATACGCAACGCAGCAAACAAATTTTGGCAGGAGAATTCCAAGAACGACACTCGCTATGAGACGAGACAGGACGAGAGAATTCGGACACAATTGACTGCACAAGAGATGATATAATTTTAGGCATACAGAACAAGCATGCATTGCACGTTAATTCAAAGCGCCAGGTCAAATTACTTTTCATTAATTAGCTCGGTACAAACTACTGTAAAAAGAATCATAATGAGGTCAAAATCATTCAATTAATGTTCATTTTCATTTCAACTCCTGCTTTTTCGCCAAAAACCACAGGTATTTTTTCTCATTTGGAAGAAAATTGCGACAGAGCAACTTCACTTATTCATAATATGCGTACGCCCTACCAGGATTTCTGTGTTTCAGTTGATCCTCTATCAAATAACTGTTGCCGTTTTTGTCAACCGAAATATTTTCAACTCCGTTGCTTTCTAGCGCTACTCGATCGCGAATCTGATTGGCTGCCACCCTTTTCACCGTGATTGGCTGATTTTCTACCGAAAAAATCGAATCTGAGTTGTCTCTAAATTGAATTCCATCCTCCAAGTTCTTGAAACCCATACACTGTTGTGTTGTTTCAGAGGATCTGTTAGTATGGTTGTTTACGCTGTTAGCAATGTCGGCTGTTTGTCTACTATCTGTTACAAGATCGTCTATACTACCATCGTTCTTCTGTGTGCACTTCTGTGCAGCTTCAGTTGTTTCACTTCCGATGATTGTTTTGAGCATATTGTGTTTGACCAGTCCTATGACCATGACGTAGAACCAGTAGCAATTTAAAATAGTGAAGATGGTGTATAGGACAGAATTGAACGTGATGAAGGGTCTGCATGCAGCACTGCATGTTTCTACCAGCCATACACATTTATACCCTGTAATGTAAATGTTACTTGAAAAATTACAGTCTATTAAAAAAAACCAACTTGAACTTAATTTAACTGAATCAACTTCGAACGACCTTTTTTTAGGAATATATGAAGGATTATTTACCTATATTTTTCAATTGTTAATTACAGGATTCCTGAAAACATTCAAAAAAAAGAATACTTTTAACTGAAATTTCATTTTTATAAGAGATTTTCTTTTCCAACTTTTGAACATCATTACTTATTGATGACAATCCTTACATAAACAACATAAGTCCTCAATTATTAATGGGAAATGCAGGTCTATGGAAATATGGATCAACTACATCAACTTTTTGTCAGGCATTAATTTCTTTATGAAAAAACCCTAAACCTCAATTCAAACTTCTCAGGAACTTTATTCATGAAAATCTTAAAGTTTACAATTTTCATGAACATGATAACTGCAGCTCTAGCCGCGAATTACAAAACTACCAGTTTTTTTTTACAAAATAATTGCATTTTATGACATATTTTTGTTTGAAGTCACTTAAGCATATGAAATCAACTTTGAAAAACTTTTATTTAGTTTCTCCGCCTGTTAAATTGAACCAAGGTTTGATATCAAAAAATATGTCAGGTTTAACTGTATTTATGGGCTAACAGAACGCAAATTGTTTCTTATTTAGTCGCCATGTGTAATTTAATGCATTTAACAGTATCTGATATCTTGTTATTACGGTTTTGACAGCGTTGATAGTGGGTCATGACTAGTAAGAGCGCCCCTTTTAAATGTGTCCGTCAAATCAAGAAAACATCAAGAAATGAACGCAATTAAACATAAAAACCCCACTTTTTTGAAAAAAAAAAACTCATAATTCAAATTTCAAAAAAAAACAATGTCCTTTAAGTTCTTTGAATTTTTAAAACAATTTTTCATTGGCACTTTTTCGATAAAACTGGCCCAATGTGAGAAAACTGAATCAATAGGTTTTTTATTTCGCAGGGAAATCTGAAAATTAAAGTTCATTTTCGAAACTAAAAGTCGATCACCTTTTTCTTGAGTTTTACCCTTTTGCGGTTCGATAGTGGAGAGTTTGCCTTCCTTCAGACAAAGGAAATGAAGTGAACTTAAGTAAAAATTAAAAAACCAAACCACGAAAAAGAGCATCTGAGCCTGAATAAAGTTTAAGACTTTTGCTGAAAAAGAAAACGAAAAAAACATCATCGCGAATTATATAAGAGTCTGAACTACGTTCTTCAACTCTTAGTTATCGAATGAGTTAGATTATTAGAGTTTTGCTTTTTCTCAAGGTTCGGTTATTCGAGCGACGACTAAACCCTTGATTTCTAATTCATTGCAAATTGACCTCTTCGAACCAAAAAGATCCGCGAATGGTACTATTATGACCGCTGTCGCTTTCGACGAATTGTCGACTTGCAGTCTGAACTTGAGAGTGTATGTATGGCCTACCTTCGTGGTACATGTATGGCACGGGGAGGAGTCTGGTGAGGAAGAAGGTGGCTATCATGCAGTGGGACACCCTCTCGTACACTGGGTGGCTCCTGTCGAAGTTCAGGTCCAGCAGACAGAAGCGCACATTGATGAACAGACTGCCCACCTCCATCAGGATAAAGACCAGCTAAAAACAAAGAAAGATATCATAAAAACGGCAGATCACTATTGCTAGTTCTCCTTGATAAGGTGTATAAGAAAAATCTCTCTCTCTCTCTCTATTGAATGCCAAACGTTTTCATGAACTCTGCTTTCGATTTTATTTCATGACTCAAAAATCGCATATGATATCTCCACTAGAGCTGCTAGCATTACATAAAATAGGTCAAAAGAAATTCTGAAATAACACCCACCTTCGCATCCATCATTTCGCGGTGCAGCACTGCTATCTGAATTGCAATGATTCCTGGAACAGAAAAAGTCCACAACCTAATTTTTTCTTCAATTTAATTAGATTTTCAGTTTTCAAAAACCAGCCTTGGGAATGATATATTATCCCTGCACTTGAAGTCCCACCCGCTCGCTAAAAGTTTCAGAAGTTCTCCAAAGTAAATTAGATTGAATATAATTTGAAACTAATTTATTACACGGAGTCGAAGCGGAACTTCGCATCACCTGCGATATATACACAAACAGAAGAAATATAAGCCGAAAAAAATGTTAAAACACTAGGTATTCCACAATTTCAGTTTTCGTAGGTTGAATTTTAAACATAGAGGCGAAGCTGAGCTACGCACCACTTGCAATGAAAAAAAAAGAGTTGAAACAGCATGACGCTCAAGAACTATCAAAGAGGACTTCGAACGATATTACCCTAGGAAAAAAAAAGAATAAAATCGAAAGTTATGTGTGGTTAAATTTACTTAAATGTTTTCACGAGGTCTCAATGATGTTGAACTTGAGCATTCAAAATTTTGACGCCAAGTTCTTATCGATTTCATAATTAGTATCGGAAGATTGTAGGAAACTATATATTTAGTGAATAAGCAGACGGAATTAAAGCCGGCAGCCAATGAGCTGAAATAATTCGGCAAAATAAAATTATTAAAAACATGTACATATAGTATCATGTATACATGCTCATAAAGAATCCACGAGAGCCTAATATATACAGAAGGGAAGGTAGTATATACATTTCGGAAACTAATACGAGAGCTTAATCGACAACAAAAAAGCCAAAACCAGAAGCCAAAAAATAATAATATCGAAATTCTATATTTATACATGCAACTAAATATATAATTACAAGTGCAACAGGAATATGTATCTTCTAAAATAAACAAACCCGGACAATGGAAGTCAAAATCAGCAATCGGGAAAAATTTCATCAAGCAGTAACAAAGCCGAAAAAATCTGACCAGAAACCCTACAAGACGAAAAAGTGTCAAGGTGCCGCAATATGAGGCCACAAAACCGATATAAAATGGGCGGAAACCCATTAAGCCAAAAAACAGGACAAAAACAAAAAAAATTTCAACAAATCGATTTGGAAAAATTAAAAGCAACACATAAAAGCAATTTTGGAAAGAATTTATTTACAAATTTGTTCTTGAACAAGTGAGCAAAATGCCGTGTGAACAATTTTTGAACTTTTTTATTTTGTAATTTCACGAGGGGGTTGGCAACTGGAAAAAAGCCCATTACCAAAACCGGGTTTCGCGATTGAACCTGAAAACTTAACCTAAAGATTTGAGAGTTTCGTTTTTGAAAAATGACAAATCGTTTCAAAAATCGGTACAAAACCAATTATTGATTTTCCCGCGGGCCATAACTTTTTATAGAAAAAAATTGGACGTAGCCGCTATGCAGGTGAGCTTGCCATAAAACGCTCTATCCATTGAACGCCAAATCTCAGATTTGGGAGATAAGTTTGTGAGAAAACCAAAAAAAAATCAAAAATTATTCGTCAACCAAAATATAAGGTGAGTAAGACGATGCAACGTCAGCCGAAACCATTTAGTCGAAAAAAAAACTTATATAAATTCAAAATCAGACGTGGTAAAATGACAAATTACATAACTTTTAAATATAGTTAAAAAAGTAATCAAAATAAAATCCATGCTTCACAAATAAGGTTGATAAAATTAGTACCAGATAATAAAAATGATATTTAAAACTAGAAGTGAAAACCCTCTAGAAGTGATCGTGTGAAACAAATTTGTTAACGGAAAAAAGTCTAGTGCCAGTTGCAAGACCCTTGCTTATCGCAAGTGTAATAATAACACTCGAAGCTCTGACACTAGGGTGTAAAGGCGACAGCGTTACCTCTACGCCATGTGGGAGCGAACCTGGAAGTTCTTAAGCTTCAACAAAAAAGCAAGTAAGAAAAGCAATTAAGATTTGTGAGAAAAATTGTTTTTTGAAAACTCTAGTTGACTACAAGACACTTTCTTTCGCAAATGTAATTACATGATTGAATACTTGCCCAATAAATGGTGAAACACTAAGAAGTACTGAAAACGTCTGTTCTTTAGTACGTGCAGATTGTTCATCCTGAAGATGGTGTCAGATACCCAATAGCCAGTCATGGCAGTCACTAGCACCTGTAGAATAGTGAACTTCACATTCCCCTCCAGCTGCATACCCAGACCCATAACTGTTCCCACTGCGCATATCAGTGATGTCACTATTGAAGCGGTGTTCGACACCCATTCTTTAGTTTGATCCACTGTCAGCTTGCTATAGGCCGGAATCAACTTCGGTAGCAATCTGAACAAAAATTATTCTGTCTTTATATCAAAAGATACAAAATCTTGTAATCTTGTCATAACAATTTGGCACAGGCGAAGCAAAGCTTCGCATGACTTATGGTATAAATTAAAAATTATAATGCTTAAACAATTTGGCGAGCCAACAATAACATTTCAAACCTCGGATTTCTAAAAAAAGTCTACACAATTAAACCAAAAAAATTTAAAAGTTAGGTTTGTCAATAAAAAAAACTAAGCTGAAAAAACCTCCGAATATAGGTCACCTGAACAAACCACAATCAAACAAAACTTTCGATATTAGAAAAATTTACTGAAAACCAGGAACACCTGTTGCTATGCAATTAGCAAGAAGTTTACCGATAACAACAATTTACAAAATGAAAGTCACAGAAAACTTGTTGAAAAATGGAAAAATCAAAACTTTTACACATTTTTGTTCAAAACTTTCTCAAATTTTTAAAGTAAGAATGACTGAATGTGGTTATAAATGCACGCATGAAAAGTAAAAAAAAGCTTAAGCATGGTGCAAAATGCAAATTATAAGTCCGCGCCACTAATCAATTCTTCTAATTGATTCTGAAAATGATCAAATTCCAACTAACTGAGAAAAATTATTTTTGTAACTCCAATTACAAACAAAATATTTTGGTACGAAGCCACTGCTGAGTATCTATGAGCTTTTTTGGGAAAGTCACAATTGAGAGAAAAACAATACTAGCATATAGTTCCTTCATACCCCGTGAAGTGGTCGGAACAACCAAATTTGTTTAACTTTGAAGGTACTTGTAGTATAAACTAAAATTTATGATCCTCAAAAAATTTGGCGACCCAAAACCAACAATTCAAAGCTCGCTTTTCTAACAAGGAAAAACAGTTGCTGTGCAATGAAGAAAAACAGTTCCGATTAATACACAGAGGCTTCGCAAACAATAGCGAGAACACGACAAAAAGCAGCTCTAGAAAGTGCAATAAGAAAAAACAGAAATCAGCCTCCCAATGGCAAAAATTCGGCTAGGTCTAGAATTCGATCTGTGACCAACTGCAATCAAAAGATTCACGCATTAACCACTCAGCCACGCACTCTCAACCACCGACAAATACAAATAAAGAGTCTACATATGCTAATAAGTTGCCAAGGCGATTCAGCAAAAAGGGCACGAAAAACCATAAGATACAATTTTGCAAAAAAACTAAAATATAACAAACTGAAGGCATCCACACTAACTTTGCATGTAAGAAATCGCAAAGCATAAAAACACAAAGTAGAATAAATGCATTTCAACAAAAAATGCGAGATATATTGTATTTCCAAAATCGAGTTTTAATTAGATGTTCTTTGAAACAATTGCATTTTTTCGGTTCAACTGATGATTTAAAAATACATAATATTACAGTAATTACGTATAACTATTTAAATTGTTGAAGCACATGCTATCAAAAGCTGTAAAAAAAAGTCCCCAAAGTGGCACAAATATTTACAAGTTTTGTTAGAAAAAAAGAAGGCTCTTTAAAATACACTAAGCTGACGCTAGTGTAGAAACAGAGACGAATCTGCGCTTCGCAAACATTAACTAGAACACGACAAAAAAGCAGCTTTATAACTAATCCTCGAATTAGTAAAACTTTAGCGCATACTGACTTCGAACCTGCGACCCCGTGAATGGGAGTCTCACGCCCTGCCTTCTCGGCCACGAGCGCGTAACAATCGGCAAACACTAGTCATCAAAAAAGCAGCTACATACGCTAAGAAATTGCCAATGCGATGCAGCAAAAAAGGCACCAAAGACAAACACACAATTTTGTAAGTAATAATTTAGAATATAACAAACTGAAGGCATCCGCCTGCAAAAAAAACTGGAAAGCACAAAGCAAGATTATGCATAAGCTATGCATTTCAAAAGACTGCGAAATACATTGAGTCGGAAAATTTCTGAAATTAATTTTTTATTTTGTTATGCTGATTGAAACAAATAGGTTTTTTCGGTTAATTTGACGAATTAAAATGCATCACCTGTGTTAGCTTATAACATTTCGAATGTCAAAGCACATGCTATCAAAAAGCCGTAGAAGTGGCTATAATATTTGCGACTTCGATAAGAAAAGAAAATATACGTAAAATTACAGTAGCGCTCACTCAAGTGCACTAGTGAAAAATGTCAAATTCAGAAAATATTTTAAAAAATCGAAAAATCAAAACTTTCCAAAATTTCCTCCAATTTTGTTAAGTAAAGGATGACTGAATTAGGTTCAAAACGCACGGATGAGCGGTAAAAAATTTTAAGTGAGGTGAAACTTTTAGGTCCATCACCAATCAATTCTTCGTCTAATTTATTCTGAAAATGATCAAATTGCAACTAAATTTCCTCGCCACTGAGAAAAATTATTTTTGTAATTCCAATCACAAACGAAATATTTTGGTATAAAGCCACTGTTGAACATCTATAAACTGTCTTTGGCGTAGTCACAATTGAGAGAAAACCATAACTAGCATATAGTTCCTTCATACCCCGTGAAGTGGTCGGAACAACCAAATTTGTTTAACTTTGAAGGCACTTGCAGTATAAACTAAAATTTATAATCCTCATAAAATTTGGCGACCCAAAACCAACAATTCAAAGCTCGCTTTTCCAACAAGGAAAAACAGTTGCTGTGAAATGAACAAAAACAGTTCCGATTAATACACAGAGGCGAAGCTTCGCTTCGCAAACAATAGCGAGAACACGACAAAAAGCAGCTCTAGAAAGTGCTTTAAGAAAAAACAGAAATCAGCCTCACAATAGCAAAAATTCGGCTAGGTCTAGAATTCGATGTGACCAATTGCAATCAAGAGATTCACGCACTAACCACTCAGCCACGCACGCTCAACCACCGACAAACACAAATTAAGAGTATACATATGCTTATAAATTGCCAAGGCCATTCAGCAAAAAGGGCACGAAAAATAATAAGATACAATTTTGTAAAAAAAATTAAAATAAAACAAACTGAAGGTATTCACACTAACTTTGCATGTAAGAAATCGCAAAGCATAAAAATACAAAGTAGAAAAAATGCATTTCAACAAAAAATGCAAGATATATTAAATTTCCAAAATCGAGTTTTAATTATTATGTTCTTTGAAACAATTGCATTTTTTAGGTTCAACTGATGAATTTAAAATACATAATATTACAGTAATATCTTATAATTATTTAAATGTTGAAGCACATGCTATCAAAAAGCTGTAAAAAAGCCCCCAAAGTGGCACCAATATTTACAAGTTTTGTTAGAAAAAAGAATGCTCTTGAAAATACACTAAGCTGACGCTAGTGTAGAAACAGAGACGAATCTGCGCTTCGCAAACATTAACTAGAACACGACAAAAAAGCAGCTTTATAACAAATCCTCGAATTAGTAAAACTTTAGCGCATACTGACTTCGAACCTGCGACCCCGTGAATGTGAGTCTCACGCCCTGCCTTCTCGGCCACGAGCGCGTAACAATCGGCAAACACTAGTCACGAAAAAAGCAGCTGCATACGCTAAGAAATTGCCAATGCGATGCGGCAAAAAAGGCACCAAAGACAAACATACACAATTTTGTAAGTAATAATTTGGAATATAACAAACTGAAGGCATCCGCCTGCAAAACAACTGGAAAGCACGAAGCCAGATTATGCATAAGCTATGCATTTCAAAAAACTGCGAAATATATTGAGTTAGAAAACTTCTGAAATTATTTTTTTATTTTGTTATGTTGATTGAAACAAATAGATTTTTTCGGTTAATTTGATGAATTAAAATGCATCAACTGTGTTAGCTTATAACATTTTGAATGCCAAAGCACATGCTATCAAAAAGCCGTAGAAGTGGCAATAATATTTGCGACTTCGATAAGAAAATATACGTAATATTACAGTAGCGCTCACTCAAGTGCGCTAGTGAAAAATATCAAATTTAGAAAAAAATTTTGAAAAATCGAAAAATCAAAACTTTTCAACTTTCCAAAATTTCCTCCAATTTTGTTAAGTAAAGGATGACTGAATTAGGTTCAAAACGCACGGATGAGCGGTAAAAAATTTTACGTGAGGTGAAACTTTTAGGTCCATCACCAATCAATTCTTCGTCTAATTTATTCTTCGTCTAATTTATAAGCTAATAAATTGCCAATACGATTCGACAAAAAGGGCACAAAATACAATTAGATACAATTTTGCAAGTAATAATTAGAAATATAACAAACTGAATGTATTCACACTAATTTTGCATGTAACAAATTGCAAATGACAAAGCCGCATCATTTATAAAGTATGCATTTCAAAAATTGCGAGATTCTTCATCCGAACAAAACCACAAATATAATTACTGAAAAGTAGGAACAACGGTTGCTGTGCAATGAGCAAAAAGAGTTCCGACTTTTACACAGAGGCGAAGCTTTGCTTCGCAAACTAGCGAGAACCTGACAAAAGGCAGCTCTAGAAATGCAATGTGAAAAAACAAAAAAAAACAGAAATCAGCCTCCAATTAGCAAAAAATCGGCTAAATCTAGAATTCGATCTGCGACCTACTGCAATCATGAGATTTGGAGTCTCACGCACTAACCAGTCAGCCAAGCACGCTTAACCAATGAAAAACACTAGTCACAAATAAAGCAGTTACATATGCTAATAAACTGCCAATGAGATTAAGCAAAAAGGGCACATACACAACTAGATACAATTTGCAAGTAACGTTTGAATTATATTAAACTGAAGGCATCCACACTAACTTTCCATGTAACAAATCGCAAAGCATTCAGCCACAATATGTATAAATTATTCATTTCAAAAAATTGAGAGAATGAGTGAGAAAATTTCTGGAATCGAGTTTTTGTGATTAAGATCTTTGAAACAAACAGCTTTTTTTTCGGTTCATTTGATGAATTTGAATTGCATTAACTGTGTAACCTTATAATTATTTGAATGTCCAAGCACACACTATCAAAAAGCTGTAAAGAAGCCCCCAAAGAGGCACCAAAATT